GGGTTTTGTAGGTAAGGAAGCCACTCTGGATCCCCCCCCCCGGACCAGACAGTTCAGAGTTTCAAAACTTTATATTTTGATGAGAAACATGAAGAAAAAAGAAAATTTAGAAAAAAGAAATTTCAAAATTTTGACCAAAAACAGACCAAAAATTTGGATTTTGCCAAAAAATTCCCCAAAAAAATGTTTGTCCAAAAAAAATTCAAAACTTTATATTTTGATGAGAAACACGCAGAAAACATAAAATTTTGAAAAATAATCTTCCAATCATTTTCCGAAAAATTCTCCAAAAGTTTTTTCAAAAAAATATCAAACATACAGAAAAAATAAAATTTTGAAAAAAAAGTTTCAAAATTTTGACCAAAAACAGACCAAAAATTTTGATTTTGCTGAAAAATTCCCCATGTGGCGCTTTGGCCCAGAGGCAATGTCTCTGTCATTGGTGTGGAACCCCAGGGTTCACCTCCTGGGCAAGTTCGAATCCCGGTTAGGGCGGTTAATACCTTCCAGTGGACTCACCACCCGCAGGACGCTTTAGTTATGGTGCAATGTGATTTGGGTGGCGACTGCTGCCCCCGCGACCCGGTAACGGATAAGCGGATGAAAATGGATGGATGGATGGATGGATGAAAAATTCCCCAAAAAAATGTTTGTCCAAAAAAAATTCAAAACTTTATATTTTGATGAGAAACATGAAGAAAACATCAAATTTTGAAAAATCATCTTTTAAAAATTTTCATCAAATTTTTTCAACATCAGACCAAAAATTTAGATTTTTCCAAAAAATTCCCCAGAAAAATGTTTGTCCAAAAAAAAAAAAACAGTTCAGAGGTCTAGAACCAGAAATCTTGACTATTATCGTATAATCGTGCTACGACTTTGTACTGATGTGTGAAGTTCGCAGGAGACACAGACCGTTTTGAGTTTTTTGTAGTCCTCTCCGATCACCAGTCGGGCAGGTTTGTAGTCCACGCAGGGGACCATCGGTGGAAGGAGCGACCCTTCTACCAGCGGGTTCCTTGCACACTCCTCATAGAACGCACAAATTCCAGGCTCGTGTAAGGCGTCGGTCAGCGTCTGGGTAGTGGACAAAAAGTCAAAGTCAAATATAAAACCACAGTGGACAGATGACAGCGAGGTGGCTCAAGCGGAGGAGCGGGGTTCTCGGCTGGTACCGAGTCTGAAACATGGAGATTATGAGTTGGTGCGAATGTTTGGAGGACCGCGATAGCATTTTGGCTAACAATAACAACAATACTAGCACATTAGTCGCGCACACAAAATAGTGACTGTTGATCCCCCGGTGATGTCCGTGCACATTAGTCATTAAGGTTTCTGTTCATGTAATTACATTTTATTTGTTTAAAAGTACAAAAGTACAAAAGACATAAATATCCCCGTGACGCAGGAGCGGTACTGTGTACTACTGTGTACTGCCGTGTACTGCCGTGTCAGCTACTGCATGTCGCCAGAACAATAAAATGGAAACTTCGGGATTTCAAAATAATTACAAATTAACAATCAGAATGTCATTTTTTTACAATTAATTAATTACAATAAAATATAAAAAAAAAATCGGAAAACTCTTTTCATCCGATCTTTTCCAGTCGCCCTGGGGCATTTGTGGGCAATTTAAGAGGGTACTTTTTCGGAAGTATAAATTCATTAGGTGTCTTTGTTGCCCTGTCCCTTGAAGGTACCACAGGTTGGGCAACTTCAAGCGACCAGGAAACAAGTTCTCTTACCCCGATCGAACGGGTCCTGGTTTTTTTTTGTTTTGTTTTTTTAAATCTCTCTTATGTTTTTGAAAACTGTGAGAGTTAATGAAAAAAACAAACAAACTACGATACACATTCTGGGAATTTATTTTTGGCTTTTGTTTTTGGAATTTTTACAAATAAAATAATTAACACAAAAAAATATCGAGAAAAACTTAGTATATTATCGAAGTAATACTTCGACCTCAGGTATGTTCTTCCACCCTGTCGTACTTCAAACTTTAAATGTACATTTTCGGTATCTCTGCCGATCCTTTATGGACGTTCCGATGTTTTTCTAGCCTAGCCTAGCCCTGGACTAACGGTTGAAGGACTAATCGGAGGAATGTCGGAGTGGTCGGACTCAGGTCAGATCCGGTGTTTTCAAAAAAGCGTATACTCCGATTACTGCAGTGATAATTAATTGACATCATCTACGAAGAAAAGCACTTTACTTTTATGTCGCTCGTTCCCTTTCCGTTTTGTTTACTCAACGTCTGATCATTAACTTTGAATATTTAGAAATGAAGATTAAAAAATGAGAGAGAGAGAGAGCAACTCACCAGACAGACCAGAAGAGGGACCAATGTCCACGGAGTGACCATGATTCCTGTGGATCTGTCAACAACGGGAGAGCACGGGTCCGCGGGTCCACGGGTGGCGAAAAAAAAAAAGGTGTCTTGATCAGGGCTGGCCTGTTGGTAGATGTATCGGGGTGAGGAGGACGGTGACGCGGCGTCTGTCTTGACGGTCAAGTCCTTCTTTGTCTTTGACGTCCAGCGGTCGGGTTAGCGAGAGGCTGGAGGGACATGCCCAGTGGCACTCCTGTCACGTCTGCGTCCTTATCTGGTCTGATGTGGTGGCCGGCGAATCACTGATACCGACGATGGGTTCTGCGGGCTGATCATTAACGCTGCTGCAACTTTGATAGGGTT